TTCACTTTGCTACTTTTCTTGTGCATATTGAAAACAGAAGAAATAATATTAAGTGTTGAGTGTTACTATTTACTCATCATGCTTATCTTTCAACAAATGAACCAAATACGTTTTAATACCTAGTTAAATTCTGAAACACATAAAAATGCTGTAAAAGCTCAGTCCTTCAGTTCAGACTTCAAACTGGCTTTCAAAAGAGTGCAAGAAGCATGGTCCAAGCCACTTTAGCTTCCAGTTCTTATTAAATGTCATTGTAGTCAACTCATCTTAGACATCAAGAAAATTTGGGCAAACCTTGGGCTGTAATTCTAGAGCCCAAATGACCTACTTCATTCTGGGGAAAAAGAAAGAGTGGTTTTGAACGCTACTGCCAGATAGTACTGATGACAGATGCTAGCAAAATACAAGGTACAGCACTTAGAGGTGTTGAAAACCCATCAGTACCTGGGAGAATAGTTTAGTCTGAAAATTTTCCCAGTCCTGTTGAAGGGAATTTTCCATTACTTTCTGATGTATTACCTCTTTGCAAAGCAAACACATTTCTTATAACCATGCAAGGATATTTGGGACAGCAATTGAGGGGAAAACCCTGTACTGAAAAAACGTTACCCTTACCAGGCACCAGCTATAACCACTCCCCTTACAACTGGGGAAGTGTGCTGAGGGTAGTAATGAGTCTAAAACATCCCAGATATTTTAGTCACTATTGATGATTTGTGCTTATTAATCCTTCTACTGTAGGAAAAAATTGCTTAAAATCAAACTAGATCATTTTTGGGGAGGAAGATCTAGCTCTGAGGGGAGGTTGAGGCAAAACAACAGATGGCTGCAGTCTATTTTAACAAAGGAACTCAATGTAGTCACAAATCGTTTCCTCTGGCCTCTCAGCCTTCTCCTCTGAGCAGAGGCCACCTCAGGAGATCACCTTTCCCAGGAAAAGCTGGGTAATATACCGGAGCTGCATTTCTCAGGCTGTTTTAAGGTAATCTGGTTGTTTGGGCTTTGCCACTGGACGAGAGACTGTGAATCCCTGTCCTTAAACTCACAATTCTGGCCTTTAGTGAAAAGGATCATTCATTCTCGCCAGGTAGACTGCCTGACACAATCTTTTTTTTTTTTTTTCCTTCCTTATTCCCTACAGTCTCTCGGCTTCCAGCTTCTTCAAGTTAATGCTTATAGCAGGAAAAATAATCAGTCTAGCCACTAATTAGCCACTGGGGACTCCTGTGGCTGTTTTTGGCCACACATATCTTAGGAACATTAATTGCCATAACTGGGGATTTTTGCTTCTTCTCTTACGATGCAATTTATAAGCAGCATCCTTTAATTTAATACACAGTGGTGCTTGCTGATGCTCCTGCATTTTCAGCTCCAGGAGCTGAAAACCGAGGATGTGTCTGGCTCTGTCCTTACTGCACTTCGGCCATACTTCGACAGCTCAAAGCTGCTTGATACAAATGGCATTTCCAAATACTTGGGGTTTATCTTCAGCTACCCCACCCATTCCCATCCATTGGGGTGCTGGGGCTCAGGACACGCACGCAGGTATTGCTGCTGGATGGGAGGGATGAGGGCAGGGCTTGGGCAGGCGCTGGAATGCGGTGACACACAGCTCCTGTTGTGGGCTGGGCGCCCCTGCCCCTCGGGTACCACACGTACACAGAATTCCTTGTACACGGCATTCCTTGGACACGGCATTCCTTGTCCCGTTACGTGCCCGCTGTCAGCCCCGGCCAGGGGTGCCTCCTCCCTGGGACACCTGGCAGCCTTTGTTCACGGGAGCATTCTTTACAGGCTAAAATGCCAGGCAACAAGAATGATCCATCCGGGGAAGATGTATGCATTTGCACTCTTTCTTTCTTTCTTTCTTTGCCATTAAATCCCACTGCAGCAAAGGAGGAAACAATGCCGTTCATTAACACTGATGGCACCACTTTGCTCCTAAGACAGATTTGTGGTTAAGTAGTGTGGATACACGTATTTGTCTGCTGTAAAAGAGGGCATTGTTTTGCCAGAGCTAAGTCAGATTCTGAGGATTTGTGCTTTTAAGTGCCATAGGACTGAAATCTATTACAGGGTGTGCCAGAATCACCAGGGCACAGGCAGGTAATGCTGTTTATAATCAGTCATCAAGATGTTATAAAAGGCTCAGTGAGACAGGCAGGATGCAGAGCTAGAGGAGTTGGCAGCAAGGCAAATATTTGGCCCTTCAGGCTTTCCATTGCCAGCCAAATAGCATCATACCGTGAAATTATCCTTCTTATCATTATTCCCCAAAAAATCACAGTGCTGCCTGGAACCTATATGTGGATTAGGCCAATATTCCAATAAATTCTGCACTTATATGGAAATTATTATTCCATACCTATAGGTATATCTACAGGCAAATCAGGATCACAGTAAGCATTAAGATTCACTATCAACTAGACCCCTGTGTCCAGTTTACTCAAAGTATCCTACAGCTTTTTCTAAACAAAACCCCACAGAGCAAAACAAGAAACCAATTTTCTTTTTGTTTACATGCCCTCTAGCCAATAGATCAATATCAGAGATTAAAATATTGGGTGTAAGATTCATGGGCATGCTCAGCTTTTCTGTCTGTCTGGTTGCTCAAAGCTCATTTTATTGCTATCTTCAAAATAAACCTGTAACTCCCAGCTACACCACCCACAAAAGAAATAGTAGTGTAAAGATAAGAGTTTTCAGTGTGCATCAGCCTTGTCAGTTCTTCACAGAATCATAACATTGCTGGAGATATAAAGGGCCTCTGGAGATCATATTGTCCAAACTCACCCCCTGCTCAAAGTGGGATAAACTAGAGCAGGTTGTTCACACTGTATCACATCAGATTTTCACTGTCTCCAAGCATGGGGACCCCCAACAAGCTTTCCTGCCAACTTGTTCCAGTATTTGATTATACTCACAGTAAAAGAGGGGGGTTTATTCTCGGTATTTTCCATGTGTTCAAATGGTATTTCCTACATTGCAACTTGTGACCTTGACTCTTGTTCTGTCACTGGACACCAGTGAAAAGAGTGTCCATCTTCTTTTGTCCTCTCCTGGTCAGGTATCTGTACACATTGGTCTGAACAGTTCCAGCTCCCTCAGCCTCTCCTCTTACAGAAGATGCTCCAGTCCCTGAAACGTCTTCATGGCCATTTGCTGCACTCTTTCCAGAAACTCCATATCCTTCTTGCACTGGGGAGTCCAGCAACAGACACAGCACTCCAGAAGTGCCCTCACTGGTGCTGAGTTGAAAGGAAGGATCACTCTCCTTTGTCCTGCTGGCATTGCTTAACACAGCACAAGGCACTGTTGTCCTTCTCTGCTGCAAGACCACACTGCTGGCTCATGTTCAACTTGGTGCCCACCAGGACACCCAGGTCCTTTTCTGGAAAGCTCCTTTACAAGTGGTTGGCCTTCACCCCTGCACTGCAAGGGATTGTTCTTCCTCAGGTGCAGGACTTGCCACTTCTCCTTGTTAAATTTCAGGAGGTTCCTGTTAGCCCACTCCTCCAGCATTTGTCTCAGCATCCCTCTGAATGTTAGCACAGCCACCTTGTGTATCAATCATTACTCCTAATTTTGCATCATCTACAAACCTGCGAAGCCATGCTCAGCACCATTGTCTAGGTCATTTGTGAAGGTGCTAAACTCTGTCAGTCTCACCACCAGCCCCAGTCACCACTAGTTACTGACTGCCAGCTGAACTTCACTTCCCTGCTCATAACCTGTCGTGTCTGGTGCTTCAGCCAGTTCTCAGACGCTGATTCTGCTGCTTTCCCTTTGCCAACAGGATGGCAGCCTTCCCTTGACAAGCTGCTAGACTTGACTGCACCATCAGAATGGGATGGACACTAGTTAAAGCTTAGCTTAATATTTTGATTTAAACAAGGGGCAATCTGTCCCTGCAAATATGAAGTTCTCTGAGATTTTCAGGGCTACAAATAATATGGTTCTGTTTCCAGATTTTTGGATGCCTTGTTCCCATAGTTGTGTCTGCTTGTCAAGTTGTGTCTACTACTTGAAAAACAGTAGTAGGACAAGCACTGTGCTTATAAGGTCATGACATCATCACTGCCAATACCAGACTTTCAGTCCAACTACAGACACAAAAAAAAGGACAGTCAAAAGTCACACACAACCACATCAAATCTTGAAAGTGCACACCAAAAACAAGCCCCGGAGAGTCTGTCTGGTTGGTGAATTCCTTCTGTCTGGAAGTGATGAAATACACGGCAGTTAATAAGGGTTGTCTTTGGGTAAGTAATGCTGGTATGAAGATTTGAGTGCAATAGTTAACTGTCAAACCAAAACCATCTATCAACTGCTAAGTTATGGAATGATCCCAATTCTTATGCCTAATTTTAGATGTTGCCTGGAATATAATTAGCATATTTGAAACTTAGGAAAAATCCAAACAGAAAAGATGGCAGTAAACAGAAAGATTTGGTCCAAGTTATTGGAGGTAACATCAACAATACCTTTTTGTCCATATTTAGGATCTTCCTGAATGACACCATAGAAAGATAAACAATACAGGTATTCTGCTAAAGGGTCCTGAAACATTCATATTTTCAGCAGTTTTCATGAATCCTAAATACAAGTATCAAACTCTCCAGGAAACAAAAGTAAAGGAAGGTGTTTAACTTCTTGCTCGGCAGTGAGTGCTTCAAAGGCTGTACAGGATGAGGGTGTTGTCACTCCCTTTCTTCTTCCTCTGTTCTCTCCCTTCGTTCTGTATCTTTTTCCAGGTATCCATTTACTGCACTTTGACTTCACTCACTTTTTCATACTGATTCTTTGTGCCTGCCATGACAGTCGGTTCTCTGATCTTCATTTCTCAGTCTTGTAGAGTATTATGAAAAGCAGTGATTGATAGAACAGTTGCATGTTTGTGATTATGGAGCCAACACTCATCAAGGGACTTGGGTGACAGCACTAGATGCCAACGAAGGGCTTACATTTCCATGATAACTTTGCTCTTCTTTGCTCCCCTCTGCTCCTCGACAGAAACAGAGACCTCTCAGAAGAGACAGTGAGCAGGCAAATAAAATTAATTCAAACCATCTAGGCAGCCAATCCCTTGTTTGAGACAACTACTTGATTAAGTGAGAGATTGTCCTTTAAATACATTTTCCAGACAGTTTCCTGTCTGGCTAGAATGACAGGAAGATCAGAGAAAGGTGGTGCTGTGCTGAGTAATTTCATGAAGGTGAAGGTGGAAGGTGAAATCCAGTTTATTCCCCCAGGCTCTGAGGCCCGGTGGGAATCTTGTTGTCAGTAATCATGATGATCCTACATGTGGAGCTGGTGCCACATGGCTATCTGTTTCCTGGGGTTCCTCAGCATTTCTTCCCAGTGGTTCCTCTCTGTGCCTGTGACGTGTAAGCCCAGACTGCACTTGCCAAGCACATGGCTCTGGCCAGCTCCATCCTGGCTCAGCATTTCCAGCTCCACGCTGGAGGCACGCAGGAGCTCGTGAGGCACCTCAAACATGATCATCTCATTCCACACAGGGTTGATCTTGTGTTTTGCACGTTTGGTCTGCTTCTTCTTCAGCTTCAGTGACTGATGCCTCAGTGTCACCTTGACAGAAACATCTGTATAGGGAGGGGAGAGACACCATGTTAATGAGCATGCAAAAAACGGGCCAGACTAGACTAGACTAGAATAGGCTGAGTTGGAAGGGACCCATCAGGATCATGGAGTCCAACTCCTGGCCCTGCACAGGACACCCCAAAAATCACACCATGTGCCCAAGAGCATTGTCCAAACACTTTTTGAACTCCATCAGGCTGCTGCTGTGACCAACCTAAATCTCCTTTAACTCAACTTCATGCTGTGTCCTCAGGTCCTGCCCCTGCCCATGAGAGAGATCAGTGCCTGCCCTTTCACTTCCCCTTGTGAGGATGCTGAAGACCACAATTAGGTCTCCCCTCAGTCTCTTCTCTGGGCTGAACAGAGCAAATGACCTCAGCTATTCCTCATAAGGCTTCCCCTTCAAGCCCTTCACCATCCTCATGGCTCTCCTTTGGACAATCTATATCTTAATTTTTTTTATACTGTGATGCCTGAATCTGGACCCAAAAATGCAAGACAACTTCCACTGGTGACATCAAACTGAGAGAGCACAGAAGAAATATTCATCAGGGGGCATTTGCTTTTCACTTTTTATAAATTATTTAAATTTCTTCGACTTTCTAAGCCAGACATCTATTTTTTTTCCTGCCAAACTTTGCCCTTCCCACTTTCTTTCTAGATTTACATAATAGCAGAAACAACAGTATCTGTTTCCTTGCTATAACACTCACCACTGCCAAGTAGATCTTTCAGCTGCTTGGAATGGAGGTTTTTAGCCTTAATAATCACCACCAGCAGGCGATTAGCTGCTGGCAGGTAGCTAATAGAGAGCAGAACCTCCCCATGGCCCGTGGATGGCTCCTGGAAATGGAGACACAGAAAGGGTTAGTTTTTTACATAATCTTGGCCAGAACATTAGGAAAACAACAGTAGAAGACTGATGGCTGGAAGGTCGTGGACCAACCGAGTTGTGTCTCTTTGTACAGGAGATCTTTCCAGTTATGCTGGATGAGACTAAACCTGGCAAAGGTGCCTGAGAGGCTCCTCCACTCATAAGGCTCTGATGATGTGAGTTACTGAATCCTCATGTCACTGGAAAGTAACTGCTTCCTGACATCAATTTTTAGTGGAATATTTAGTCAGAAGAAGATTTGAGGCTGACATACAAAGCAAATAGTCAGAAATTCCTATTTTGAGAGACCTCATAATTGCCCTGCATTTACATCCACTGCCCCCTTTACTGCTTTTCGTAATTCACCTTTGGTTTCAGGTGCTCCATTTCCCAGAAGGTTCTGACTGGACTCAGCCTCCAGCCTGCACTGCCCAGCAGGAGTGTAGGGCTCCCTGGGAAAGCAGAGGTGGTGCTTGGGGCTGAGTCTGATCTGGAGCTGGAGCTGCACCTTCCCTGACACCCTATTTGGTATGAGAAAAATCCTAGCCAAGCTGAAATCCTCCACCAGCTGAGCACAACACATTAGTCTTCCTTCCCACCTGCCTTCTGTCAGGACTGTGAGCAGCTCTCCCTGCTTCCCCTGTGGGAGACTCCCTTCTTTCCATTTCCCTTTCCTTCCATTTGCCCTGGACAAGCAGCCCTTGGTGGGAAAGCCTAGGGACACAGCCACACCACCACTGCTCTCCTGTAACAGACTAATGCCATTTCCTTTGGAAACCAGCAGAGCAGGAGAGAAATCCCACACCATTGTGTGCAGAGCTGACAGCCCATGGCAAGGAACAAAAAGGGAGTAGTTATTCTCTCAGTAAGTGGGACCTTGTGACAGAAATCTGGTTTAGTGTGAGGTTAATGACCCTGAAAAGTTCCAGAAAGCCAATGCCAATCCAACAGACTCATTCAGGACTCCTTAGCATGTTCTACATCCTCGAGGATAGACAGCCCTTCTCCAGGCTATTTCTGTGCTCTGCAGTGTCACTACTAAGAGAGCCATAAATATTTCAAATTAAGTTTTCAACCAGTTACTTGAAACAGGCAAGGACAGGCCCCTGTATGCTCTCCATGAGCTGACTGACTCTCCAGAAAATATGGCTGTCATCACTGTCTGGTTTGAATGACTAATTTGTCCTGCACAAATCAGGTGGAAGGCCATTAGCAGGGAAGCCTGAAACTCAATCCCAAGTCAGCCCAAGTAAATCTTTTTTTTCATGCACTCAGGTAGCAATGAAGGGCTTGTATGAATTTCACTTCTATGAATCCTGTCTTAAATGGAAGTGGACTTTAGAAAAGCCATACATAAGAAGAGGCAGTTTCAAATGCCTCTATGCCCACTAGAAAAGAATTGGACACTGAGGGACAAACCCAAACACCACCTCAATGCAAACCCAGAGTTTAGGTATGTCATAAGCTGCTTTTGTTTGTTTACCCCCACTACATCTCAGCAGGTCCCATTCTATAGCTCTTGGCTAGAATTTGGTTCCTGTAGCTACAGGCACAGGCAGATGCAGTGGGGATTGGGAGGGGGTGCAGCCTTGTGGACGTGCACACACGCACAAACACACACCTTGCACTCGGATCACATCTTGTGCTTATGACTTTCTAGCTCCTAGTGTGCTGATCAAGTTTTTGGCCAGCCTATATCCACATGAAAACAAAACCTACAATGGTTGGGCTCTGCTGGAGTTTTGAGTGAACAGACTGAACCAGAGGTACTTTTCCTTCCCCTTCTGGGCTTTGTTTTCTTTGTTTCTTTTTCCCTATTAAATCCATAACCTATATTTTGTGCTGAAATCCTGCAAATTCATACAACCATCAGACTTTCTTTTAGCTTTCAGTCTTTCTTTCTATGAGATACGAATAAAAAGCAACAAGGGGTCGTCAGTGAATTACGTGCAGGGCACCACGAAATCACAAAAGGGAAGTTGCTATGCAAAGACACACTATCATTAACCCACTATCATCACTGTCATTAGCAAAGCAGTGGGAGGGAAGGAAGACAAGATAAGGATATCAGTCTGTGGTATCTGCGCTTTGCATTGCTCACAGGACTCAATGAATTCCTGAAGGCTAATCGCATTACCTGGTTAGCTGTTAGCTCCACTCTGGGCTCCTTCCCTTGTGTGTGGGAGAATTACTGGGAAGGTAAGAACGAAATTTCTGCCCTTCCTGGCATTTCAAGGAAATGTCACACTTTCGACAAAGCTCAGTAACTTTGTTCCGGGATGAATGCTGTCAAAAATAGCTCCTCTTTTTTGATCAGCTCTTCCTCACTCCCTCCCTCTCTGGTTCTCAATGAATGATTCAGGATCTGTATACATAAGCTATCTGTGCAATGGTTGGCTCTCTCAGGTCCCAGATGACGCAAATTCAGCTTTCACTGCACATCCTCAGCTCAAACTGGGGCACTGTTCAGCAGTACTGCTGGTGTTAACCTTGTGCTGTCAGCCTGGAAAAGAAATTAAGGTTTCCCTGTTTCTGTGTGTGGTTGTGAAGCTGGACCAAGGCATAATTCCCTGTATATCAGAACTCCATCAGGTGCACTGCAGTAACAACTTACTGCTGTGAACAGGCTGTTCCTTGGGTAGTGTAAAAAAGCAGATGCTTCAGTATGGGGGGAGAGGGGAAGGGTTACAGCTATTAGACAAATATTAAGTCTTGTGCTTGAAGTTTATGAAACTCATTAAGACCACCATTTGTTTCTGCTGCCTCTGTCCCTGGCAGACGTTTTTAGTGTGGACAGTCCCGTTAGTATTCAAGTGGTTATCAGATAAATCAGCACTACTGGAAATCAGAAATGCAAACTCTGTACTCTGTGTCTGTGGCCAGCTCAGTGGAGAGCCCTCAGCCCTGATGGTGACAGGCAGTAATTTGTTTCTTCATGCTTAGTGATGGTGCTCGTGTTGTTTTGCATTGCTCAGTCCTACCACACAAGAGGTACCACTTGTGATGAACAAGCAGCAGCAGTAGCAGCGTCCTGCTGCCATGTTAAGTGAATTGCTGCTGCTAGAAGAACAACCTAGTTCATGGCAGGGAAAAGGCTCCTGAGGAAATGTGCAAGAAATTAGTGCACTGTACCCACTTCAGGAACTGTTGGAATTCTTCCCTTCATTTTTCCTATCTGTGCAGCTGGTGAGATGTGGATAAGGAAGGAAAGGAAGGTTTTGATGATTAAGGAAACCAACACAATGCAATGAATATTTTGACACCTCCCAGAACAGCACTGGATTGATTCCAGTAAGTAAAAGTGTCCTTCAGTCCAGTTTTCCAGTCCCAACAATGTATTTCACTCCTAGTTTAAAGCTCCCTGGGGTGCCACCGTGTGCCCTACCACACCCGGCTTTGCAGAGTCCTTCCATCACGCTCTGTAGGCACTCTGATATTTCAGCTCTTGCCACTTTAGACCTGTATCACTAAGTTTTCTAGACGTAGCATTTGAATTACAGATGCCAGTGTCAGATTGTCATGTAATTAGTGAGGAGTTGAGGGAGTTGTGACACATTAACAGCTGGGGGCAATAGGCAGAAGGGCTTCTGATGTGATGAGACCAGCACAGAGCTGTGCTGAGTGATCTCTGCAGTCACACATCACCTCTCTAAACCTGCTCCAAAAAAATAAAACCCCTCACCCGCATGCAGCTCTCTAGGAAAAGGGCTTCTCTTGTCCAAACTCTTACTCAGTAGGGTTTCTGAGCTACCAACACTGAGTCCATACCTTCTCTGGGCTCTTTAACCTTTCCCACTGGGCCTTCCCAAAGGATTCCTCCATGTCAGCAAGGTTCAGTTTGAGTTCCCCCACAATGCTGTGCCTGGAGAACTTGTCGCAGTTTCTCAGGGTGAGAGTCAGTGTCCCTCCTGGCATCTCCTCCTCCGTCAATGGGAATCGCAGCACCTCCTCCCAAAGGGTGTGAAGTACCTTCTTCTTCAGCTCTGTCTGGGCCTCAGCAATACCAGACTTGCTCTCCAGTGTGCCCAGTATGTAACAATGGCAGCCAGCATCTTGGTCCCCACTCATTCTGCCATGCATAGCTGGAAAAGATGGATGGTAAGGACCTCTCACAAAAGACAGCCTTGGAATATCTGTGTCTAAATTGCTTGTTTCATGGGAGCCATAAAATAAAACAGCTGCATAGACATTGACCCCTGTTCCTGCCTGCATGGGGGCAGATTGAGCTGTGAGCCCATGCTGTGGTGTTTTCCTCAGGCTGCACAGTGTCTCTGTCCTTGTGCCACTGCAGAAGGATGCTGCCACTGTTTGGGAGAGCAACAGAGTTCAAGGAAACACATTCTGTTGAAAGATGCAGAACAGCACTGAAATGAGGCAGCATGAAACAGGGATTGGCAGTTCTCACTCACTTTTACCTTGGCACACAAAAAAAGCTTCTTACAATGATTTTAAAAGCAGGAAGGCCAGTCACAGACATCAGACATGGGATAGAGCTTCCCTTGGCACACATCCATCCCTCCAGGCCAATGTGGGATATGTCTAAGGGTTATTGCATTCTGCTGGTCCAACCTCTGGTAAATGAATCCATCAGAAGCCATCCCACAGCCCAAAAGACCTGTGTCAAGAGACATTTATCCCTAATTTTATATCTCTTTTATGCTGGAAAGCCTAAAGTGAGAATGACATTTCACACTCCTCTTCAGCTGCATCAACAGAATTGCACTGCCTTCTCTGGCAGCAAGAGGAGCACACCCTCCTCCAAGGGGTCACTGAATATCACATCAAGGCTTTGAGGGAAAACTGTTGTCCTTGCTGCAGCCAGTCCAAGGACAGCTGCTCCTGAGCTGCCAGGACCCGTGGGTCACAGGGCCCTCCTGGCTTCTCAGGGAGTGGGACTGGGGAGCAGAGCCAGTTCCTGTGCACAGGAGTGCCAGGGTGACAGCCAGCTGGCATGGGTGCCCGTTCTGAAGGGGAACTGTGGGCTTGCTGCTGGCAGGAGACCCACAGCAGTGGCTGCCATTCTGCACCCTTTCAATTCTCGCCTCAGAGGGGGTGATTTGATTAGGTTTCCACAGAGATCTACACTGTGCATGAATTATTCAGTCAGCTTATTTTATTCTCCCAGAGGAGCTGATGATGCTCCAGCCCTGAGTGGAGAAGCTGTAACAGTTGTCAGAGAGTGACACAGAGCCTGGCTGCCTGGCCAGGCATTGCCAGAGGGACTTTTCTCAAAATGAGTGGTATCTCCAGCTCAGGCTTTGACTTGAGGAAACGGCACTAGGGAGTGGATGAGGTTGAAGAATGAAAGATCTAGAGAGGGAGGAGATAGTAACTCCATTCCTTTTGCCCCCAAAGGAAAAAATAAAAAGAAGAGGTTGCTTTGTACCATGTCTGGCACTAGAGGAGCCCATCCTGGCTCCTGGCAAAGCCGTGCAAACAACTGTTCCCAAGCTATGCCCTCCCTCCGAGCAGTGACATTGACAGGCGTTCCTGCTCTGCAAGCCCAGCACCAACGAAACACCCAGCGGTCCTGAGGACACCCGTGGGTCCTGGGAAAGCAGAGGCCAGTCTGTGGGTGTGAGCAGCAGGGTGCTGGCCATGGGGGCCGGGGAGGTGGCCTTACCTTGCAGCAGGGCCACGCGCAGCTCTGCGCGCTGCGGGTCGCGCAGCAGCGAGTAGTGCAGCTCCGGGGGCTGCGCGCCGCCGGCCGCGCCGTCCGGCTTCAGGTGCTCCGTCACACACACGTCCTTTACCACACCTGGAACTGGAACAAACCCCTTAGGAGCAGCTCCAACCCTTCCACGACGACGCTTCGCTTTTCTAAATAAATGTGATTTGTTTTCCTTCCTCCTCCATCGTCTTACATCCTTTTTGCTCTGTTTACTTGCACTTTCAGCTGTTTCTACAGCATTTGGACAAAGCCATCTTCTCTCCACCACCTTGTGCTCTGCACACTTGCTCTTCTACCTGAGGCCAAGGTGTCTAAGCAACACTCATTGCTTGTTATATTGTTTTATATTCTTTTAACTGGCATTAGTCAATTAAATCCTATGTTCTCTGCAATGAGAACATGAGTCTGCTCTTGAACTGCTGTGCAACTCTGCATTAGGTCAGACCTCTCTAAACGTTTTGGTCTTGTTTCTTTTTTTAAATTTTAACAATGAAGTCTTTGTCATGCAAAAGACATCCATTTCCATAGCACCTGACCATGTTGAAGGCAATGAACTTTGGAATCCGTAAGTCAGTTTCTCCATGCGTGATTTTGGAGCTGAGTATGCATTTCATGCTAAAATAAAGCAAGTTGCAAGACTAAAAGAGAAGCCAGAGATTTTTGTCACCCAAAGCTGTTATCTGCAAGGTCAGTTCTGATTCACACAGAAAACAATAGTGGGACCAGCACACTTCCTCCTGAAGATCTCAGCCACAGTTCAGACCAGTTCACTGTGGCATCAAAAGGAGAAAGCAACAATTCTTGCTTAATTTTAGCAACACTTGAGCTATAAAATCAGGCAGAGCAGGAAGGAAACTTGCTTGTGCCATTAGAGTGCAGAGAGGCTCTTACACCAACACTTATGTAAAGCTTTAGCCTAAATGCAGCCATCATCTTTCATCCTTTCCACCCTATAATCTTTTCCCTGATACCTAAGGATGTGGCTCAGACAGTTTCTTCCTCCAATGCATCTGCTTCCCATGGTACTTTCTTTTCCATACTCACAAGCCTCAGGCTGGAGGGGTGAAGGTAGCAACTGTCCTTCAAGAAGGGCAAAAATACAATCTCAAAAAACTAAAAATAACTAAAAAGAGTACTCAATAAAAATAACGGCAGATGGCATTGTTTCTCTGGCAAATATTCAGGAAGGTTTTATTAAAGTGGTAAACATAAGAGTAAATTATCCTGGTAAAAGATGGCTGTGAAGTTAAAAATCAGTATGGAAGAAACACAGACATGCATGTAATTAAGAATGCATTTTCTCTCAGGCTCCAGAAGTCTTATTTTTCAGGATTTGGAGTGTTACCCTTTGGGCTGGGACACAGGAACTCTGTTTGGTGAAATCCTCTGAGGTGTCAGCTGCACATTACAATAAGCCAAGAACATCTCACCAAACCATGACAATAAAGGAGCAGAGAAAATGAGAAGCTTTGACCCCCACTGTCCCTGACAAGAGCACTTGCTGGACAGCTCGAATTTGACCTGGAGGACATATTCTGCCTAATTTTGGCCAGCTATTTCACACAGACTCTGGATACTGCTCTCAGTACAACTACACTAAATGTGCTTTTCTGCAAAATGTCTGCTACCAGGGAGACAGATTCTTCAAAACAAAAGATGTTTAGATACAAAAAACCAAAAAAACAAGAAGATACAACTACAACTTTGTTATCAGAATGTCCCTATGAGCTCCATGACTACCTTCTACTAAACAAATGTATGCCAACAAAACTCAGAGTGCTCATGATAAGTGAAAAGCATCCCATGTTTTCACTTCCATATTTATTTATCTAGCAACGATCACATTATGCTTGGAAGTATGACAGACCTACACCCACTAAAGCAATTGTTAGTTTGAAGACCAAAAGCTCCTACCGTTTTGAGGGAGAACAAACAGCTCTTCATTGACTTGTATCTTCATCCTATTCTCATCCAAAGCAGTATGTTTTCCAGTAGCTGGTTCTTCTGTTGTTTTCAGAGAGTACTGTGTGTAATTAACAATTTCAGGCGAAGTTACTTCTGGTTTGGGGCCATAAATGTTGGGAAACTTCAGAAGTGCTCGAGGCTGGACAGGCTCTGCAGTTTTCTTAACGTTGAACTGAAAATTAAAACCTTGCTTATTATTTTGCACTAATTACACTAATTCCTCCAATCTTCTTAATGTTATATGAGCTGAGACAGGAAAAAGGCAGGGCCTCTGGTCAATCCTACCATAATTTTTTCTTGGTTTCTAGAAACTGCTGCCTGCATGTCTGGAGACTTTCCTGACAACACTGATACCTTCTACTTGGTGTGTTTCTTTTCAGATTTAGTTCTCTATAGGTGTTTTGATTACGATAAGAAAAATATATGTTCTTATCACTTGATTTGTCCTCCGTTCCACTTAATATTTTCATAAGTTAATCCTTTCATTTTAGTAAAGAAATTAACCATGAAGTTAATTTTGCCTTGATTAAGATATGGCAATTTTTACCTTGATGTTTGAAATCGAATCCAAGAGCAAGAGGCTACAGCCATCTCACAGAATCCAGAACATTTTATGTGAGTATATAGTAAGCATTAAGAGTGCAAAGACATAAATAAAATCTGGAGAAAGCATGACCATAGTGCAATAAGACTGAGGAGAACTTGTGGAACAAATGAGCCCTGGACTGGCAAACCAAGAGTAGTTGATTCAGTGGTCATCTCAGCCTCTTGGTTCTGTGGACCAGAGCTCCATCTGACCATCAGACACACATTTCCTTTTTATTATACCAGGACTGAAATTAGGATTTATGTCTGATTTTGTTCTTAACACTTCAATTCCCTGCTAGATCGTGAACATGGGATGAGCAGAAGAACCTGCAAGATGCTCAAGCCCAAGCAAAGGCTGGCAGAAAAGGCATTACTGTTCTCCCAAAACAAAACAAAACAAAACAAAAAAAAATAAAATAAAACCCCCAAAAAAATTTAGTGGAATGGAACAGTTCTCTTCTGCTTATGTCACAAGAAAGAATCCCACCTTCTTACAACTGAAATCATTCCTGATTAATTTATATTTGGATTCATCAATGGAGAAGAATAAAAGCTGACTAGCAAATGACCCCAACCCTTGCAAAAGATTTTATTAATGTTTCCAAAACGTGAAAGACAAAAACCACAAGTAAAATTATTGTAGTAGATTATCTCTAACCTACTGCCTGCAAACCTACCTTTTGTCAGGACTGAGGGTGAGACAGAAAAGGTTCATAACTGTAATTAAAGTTTTTCATTAGTCTTATTATTTCCTATTAATAGTGAATGTAGATGGTGCCCTGAAGCTGATGTCTGTGTTGGGATTTCCTGGCCCCAGCTTGTATGTGCAGAGGAAGCATACCTACTTCTCAAGAAACAGTGCTGAAGAAAGAGGGCTGTCTTGGATGTCAGCCTAGTCATATTCTGCTCGTGGAGATCCTGGTTGCACACACTTGGCAGTGGTAGGGAACTAATTAGGTCAGCGACTCCATCTTCTCAAGGCAACCAGTGTACCAGTGTTTAGGAAGTCCACTGTGTAACACAGCATTTTGTCTTGTCTAATTTTAAGGGCTTTGAAAGACAAGTGGGCTGCGAAAGAAAGATGTCATGGTGTGCCATCCTCACCTAGTATTCAGCTGAGTTTAGATGTTATGTAAATTACAGTGTTGGGCTGTAAGTGAGATCCCTCTTACAGAGATGTGAGCCTCATCAGTCCCAAAATACCTAGGAAATGTGAAGTTATTCATCCAAACTTTAAATGCACTTTTCCATTCTTCTAAAATTAAAGCAAACCAACCAGGCAGAATAGGTGAGGAATCACTGGACAGCAGCTAGAAAAGGCTTTTGTTGTGCAGAGGCATTATACCCAGCACACACACAGTGCCTGACGTGGTGGCCAGCCCCTGTTGTCCTCTCTCCTGGGGCTGCTGTGTCAGGCTGTCCTGCCACTCACTGGCCACACTCCGGAGCCTCCTGCCTGCGTTGCTCTGTGCTGCCAGCACACAGAGCCCTTCCAGATCCTTTAGGATGAAAATCATGCAAATCTGAGGTATTGTTAGCACAATCTTTTCTTCCTCTTGCTAAAAGCCAGGTATTTAGTAAAAAAATCCATTAGCACACAGCATCTAACTCCATTGGGTCTAAATATTCCTCTTGTCTGTCTGCTCTGCAGAATTAGAGACGAGAGACATATGCAAGCACAGTGGGACTAGCTCACCCCCTCTTCCAACTGCATCTGCCTCTGTTTATTATTTTGCTGCCAGCTCTTTTCCCAAGTGCTGTGTGCTAATCCCATTACATGGCAGTGCCCTATGGAAGTTCCCTTTGCAACTCAGCAGTTGTGTCTTAAATAAAGACATGAGCAGAAGAGATCCGATAGTTCTGCAAAAATGCATGAAAGCAAGTAAACCAAAAGGAGCAAGGGGGCTGCAAATGATCCTTCTGTGTCCCTGCCCAGTGTCACTCAAAGCACCAGATTGTTGCCATTGCTGGATGAGTTAAGGAATCCTCATTCTGCAGGCTTTGCTGAGACTTTGCAAATTTACAGCAGTTTCTCATTGTTTTGTAGCTGTATGTTTGTGTTAGAACTCTTCTTCCTCATGTATGCAGGGCATGTCCATGGGGAGCCTCTGTCTACAGCAAATACCAGCATCACTGTCGTGGGAGACATGCCAAGTGAATAAAATGCAGACTTGCTACATCTTTCTTTTGTCATCTGTGTGTATCAGAATCAGTGGCCCTGACAGGTTTCAATAATTGAATGTATCCAACACTGACTAGGACATACTGTATACTAATGTAGTCAGAAAAAAAAAAAGTCCTGACAGAACAATTTATAAACATAGAGATAATAAAATTTCACAAGCTCAGAACTCAAATTGAGATTCATTTCTTGAAGGTATAGAGACTGATTCTGAATCAGTGGCAGCATAGGAGAATTCATGTTGCTGGCAAGAAAATTATTTTAATTGGAAAGAATTGCTAAACATATGGAATATGCAAACTAAGAACATTTTGCACTTTCTGTGACAGAATGTTCACTCGGCTGCTATAATATGTCTAGATTTATTTTAAAAAAGAACCATAAAGCCAGTAACATTGGAAATAATTCTTCAAATTAAAAAATCTACAATGCTGAAAGAATGCACTCAGGTAATAATGTTACATTTAGGGCAGGTTGAATAATTTTATCCCTTGTTGGTCAAATACTGGATTAAGTCATGGAAAAACTTGATGAATATATTGTGAGGACCATAACTGCATAGCTCCTGGGTACTGGAGGCTTAACTGAACAACATGGAGATTTATGGCTTATTTCAGTCCTGCAAACAAGATAGCACCCTCATGGACAAGATCCAGGATGGATTAACACTTTCCCAAGATGTTTCCCAAAAGTCTGTATAAAAGAAAAAAAAGCCCAGTCCAAGGGTGGAGTTAAAATTAAGATTTGAGATGTTTTGGGGGTTGGAGATTATAACATCAAGCTCTCATAGAAAGAGCCTGATGGTAAAGTTGTCTGTGGGTTGTGTTGCTGCAGACAACAACTAGAAAAATAGCTATGCAAAGTGATATGGCTGTCAAAGTTACATTTTTCATTCATGTTAACAGTAAACTTGGAAAAATCTCCTCATCGTTGTACATTCTTATATACAGGTGCTAGCAAATTCCCTGTATGGGGTAGAAAAGAGAAAAAAGGAGCCTGAAAGGGACATGGCTAAGCTATCAAACAGAATAGCAGGGGAAATTCATCCTAGGAAAATGAAAACAGGTTTTAGGAGATATTCATCATGCTCATGGAAGAAGGCTCAGAATTAGCACCAATCTTTTGAGAAGTCCTAAACTCCATGCAGAAGTTAATCCATGGTCAGTGGAACCATCCTCCCACACCTCTCCTCCCCCCTCCAGCAACCACAAGATCTGCTAATTCCATTTTCTGTATCTGCACCAGTTCTTACAATACTGTTTGTAGATTTGGTCATCTTTCCTCAGCATGAACTGCAACAGGAACGTGAAAATGCCAAGGTTCTTTTCTACTAAGAGCCAAAGAGTGGAAGCCAGAGAAAGACTGAATATTTCATTACAAACATTACAGAGGAGTTCCATTAGGACTCCTGCTACACTCTTTAAGAATACAAAAATATTTGTATCAGCTCAAGTAATTAAAAGGCAAATAAAGACTGTTATACAATGGAGCACAGGCCTTTGGAATGGGCTACTATGGCATAACACTTGGTTGAATGGCTAGGTGAAAGTGAAAAGGACACAGGCACGTACAAATATTAGGAGCAACTCCCAACAGGTAATACTTTCAGAGACTGAACAGTGCTATAGATTGTGATAAAGATCACATTTAACCGAGGAAGTCATCAAACACTTCCCTTTGAAGAAGAGATTCCCATTAATAAGTATATTAAAAGCGTTCTATAATTCTCCTAGCTCCCTCTTGCACTGAGCTCAGGAGTAAATCAGGCTGTTTGCATTCTAACAAACATGAAAGAGCACACAGGGATGCCTGACACTATCCATATTCCACATTACTTTTACAGTAAATGAAAAAGAAATTCACAGTGTGATGAGACTGTGCAGTCATCACAATCTAGATTCTCATTTGCTTTTTATTATGATTTCAATGCCTTGTTTTAACTTCACACATAATTAATCCTCTCAGTTAGAGGGGCAGAAGGAGGAGGAGGGAAGGTTTTCACAAGAAACCAGCTGTTGACAGGGAACTATCCTGCAGGAACTATGAGATATTGTGAATAGAATTAAATAGCTGCTATACGAGATCTCAGCAGGAGCCATCTCCTCTTCACAATGCTGCGTGCCACCTGGTACAGTCCAGTTTTCTCTTCTTAGGAAATTATTTCTTTTCTGATCTATCTTAACAACTAAGCAGCATTTCCAGTCCTCATCCCCTGTTTCTGCCATTAGCAGCTTTCTCTTTGGCTCCGTGGCAGATGTCTCCTGCTCCCGTAATTCTGTGGTACCCAGCTCATCTCTGTTTTTCCCTCACTCCTCCTCCCACTGGCATGTTGTTATATCCTGAACACAGTGAGCAGATAAACAGGCAGCATAAATCACATGCTGAGTAGCCTAACAGGGAAGTTGCATTCCCACCCTCTGCATTTAAAGAAAAATCACAGAGTAAATTAGAGACTGTGTCTTACTTGCTGGACTGGCTGAAGCACACTGGGCTTAGTGTTTTCCGTCTCCTCCTCTTGGTCCTTTTCTGAGAGTCCTTTCCCAGGTTGCTTGCATTTGCAGAAGCAGGTGAGACCGCAGAGGGCAAGGATGCTAGTTGCAGTCCCTAAGGTAGCCCCCAGGGCTATAACTGGAGCAGACAAAACCATTGTCCTGTGCTGCACAGGAACAGAAAGCACAGAGATCCTGTGGCTCTTTCTACTCCCTGGGAGAGCAGCTCTCCCACATCCACTCCGATTCCTAGCCTGGCTTCATTCTCCTTGGAAGTCTGAATGCATTTCTCTTGTGCAGCAAAGAAAAGGGACCAATCTAGACACACAGATAAATCATCCCACCTTTGCTAGGCAACGAGGCTACCTTTCTATCCTGCTGATGGAGTTGCAGCTCCAGGTCAGGGAGAGGAAACAGTAATTGTGGTGCCTGCAATCTCCATAGAGCTGCAAACAGGCAGTTTTCATTGAAGCCTGTTCTCCAGCTCCACTGGGAAAAGTCTGATGTGTGATAGAGAGGAAAGACGTCAGCAGAAGGGGCTGGCCTTGCTAGCTAACTCACAGAAAGTGCATCCGAATGTTTGATCATCTCTCCAGCAACATTTCTCGGGGTTGACTTGCTGATATGCTCAAGAGGTTGTATTTTTTTTGTCTTAAGGAAAAGATAGTGACTGCCAAAAGCTGCTGGCCTGAGAAGCCCTGTTATTATAGCACTGCATGATACCTCTGTATTCACAGTAAAGCCTCTGTATAAGTCAGGCAAAACTTTCTCATCCTTCAGAGGCTGCAGAACAAACACAGGCAAGAATTAAACACTGTCCCATGCCTCACCACCTGCCCCTCAAAGCACTGGCTCTGAACCTTTTGGAGTTGCTTTCTGCAGGATAAATGCAGAGCAGCACCTCTGTTTAAAAAGAGAGCAGAAAATCGTACCAAACAAGACACACTAGTGCATATGCTGCTTCCTCTGGAGAAAATGAGAAAGCAAACAACATATGCTAGGCATTAGTCATAGTGCTTTCCACACTGGTGTCAGGCAGTGGGCTGCTGAGCACAGGACAGGAACCTGCATGAATAGACTTGAAGAGCTAGATGTCCGTCCCAGTTTCCTCTTGAAGTGATGGAGTGATTATCTTTCTCTGACTCATTTATTTTTGCCTTATTTCTCGGAATGCCCAGCTTGTGGAAGAGGATAATAAATGCCATCATTTGATATGTTTCTCATGACATGTACTTCCCTTGCCTGGGTACTTCACAAAGAGAATCTAGTGGCCAGAAAGTGATTGTAATTCTGGTCACTATATCTCTCAGCCAGAGTGAAAATAGTAAGCAAAATGCAAAATATTCCAAAAAATACCCAGTTCTACTGATTCTGCTGGGAGTTTGTCATTCTTTTTTGGAATATAGTTGATACCCGTGGATCAGGAAAACAAATTAACTATGTACAGAGAACATTTTAGAAATTCAGGTGGTTTCATTCTCCTGCAGCTCAGGTTTTGCATAGATTTTTCTTGACTATTTTTTTTCTTTGATGTTTCACATCTTACTCATCACAACTCACTCAGCCTTTGTTCCTTGATGACATGTTCACCTCCCTGGTACAAAACTTCCCTCACACATCTGAATCCCACTTCAGTTGTTAGATTCCTCTGCAGCATCCTAATGGCTACAGTGCACATTCCCCTTCTCCTCACCCTACCTGGCTTGTCTCACCCCTCTCTTCCAAGCCTCCTGACCCCCAACCAAGAATCAAATCCCAATGGGCTCCTTAAGCAGAGGCAGTTCCCTAATAAACTGCTGAGCCCGTGGAAACTGGTCTTTCAGCTCAGCCCACAGAAGGAAAACCTTGAGCTTTGTCTTCAATCTATCAGAACAAAAGCTGGGCACACCAGGCTGGACCACGGGCACACCTCTCCCTGTGCTCAGCACTGGGAAGAACATCACACAGAGGAGGTAGAGAAATCTGACTGAATGATCCCTTTGCTTCTTGCTCTTCGTGTCTCAGGAGATTCCAAAGTCTTGAGCAGCATCCTTGTGCTTACCTCTTCTGATGGGAATTTTCTCTGCCACAAGTGGACTGTTCCAACCATTTTCTGACTTATCTAACAGCTATTTCATTCAGCCCACAGTTATCAGGTGACATTGTAATCATGGTGCCATGAGGTCTCATCTTGAGTTTGAAGAATGAACCATGTTGTTATGGACTTCTACCACCACCCAAGAGAAGGAGAAGTGAGAAGAGTCTGAAAGATGACAAAAAAGATGGGCACACTCTTTAGATGCCTTTGGCTTCCTCCACAGGATGGTTTCTTCCTAGAATGCTAATGAAATCTAACACAGAGACACCAGGGATCTGGAAACCACATGAAAAGGAAGAAAGATTCTACCTTGTTAAGGGTAGAATACAGTGAAAGAGAATTAGAGTGGAGAAGGCATTCAGTCCATTCATGAGATGCAGTCTTGATGTGTTTCCCACACGCTGTTCTGAGAATTATGCAAAGAAGTAAGGTCACACCAAAGTTTCTCTGCAAGACAATAATTTAATAGCATCATCTCTGAGATATTTTCTGCCTGCTTATATAGGAAAATTAAGTTTTCCTTGCCAGAAATTGCATTTGATGTGAAATGTAATAGGTACAGAATCATTGTCAGATACCATTTTTAATAGTAACAGCCAGGCAACAGCCTTTTGCTGCCATTGCTAGGAAAACAAAGAAGCTGTCCCCAGACATTGAATATTATCAGTATGTGAGCTTCTACAAGTGACAGGCCAAAGATTTCAGATTTTTGTGTGTGTACTGATGCATGTACAGATACATAATTTAACTATAGCTCTGGCATGTACTGCCACTGCATGGTTGTTTATTTTTAGTACATTCTGTTCTAAAATAAATTTGGCCATAAATGTCTTTCAAAGTCATCTTTACACTTGCTTGTTTCAACACCCAATAATTGAATCACTTATTTTTCTTTAAAGCAGTAGCAGGATAAATTGGGGTCAGGTGATGACATTTCTCACTGGCCATTCACACTGATCGTGTCCAGAATCACACAGCTTTTTTATCTGTCACATCTGCCATTAGAAAGAGACTTGCCAAGGTAGGGAGATGAAAGCCTGTTTTTGCAATCCAGACTTTAGGGGCAGGTTCAGGCCTGACAACATATTTCACAGTCATCCTATCCACATATTTTCTCTCGATTCTGATGGAGGGCATGTATAAGAATGGCAAAAGCATATCCATGGTTTTCAGCTTCTGCTATTTCAGACAGGAATATTCTGTGATGACAAAATATAAGGTACCAGTAAACCTTTGGTGCCTATAGATTCTTTTTTCCTGCTGTGAGTTCTTCTGCTGATACTTTGGGCCTTTCTGTTCACTGGCTGTATAAAAGAGGCTTACTCTTAATGAAGACTTGGTAGCACAGATCACGTGGAGAATTACAAGAGCTTTTGCATTGCCTAGCTGTAGTTCATGACTTAACAGAAAAAAAGAAAAACCACTAAAAACCCCTCCTCCCCTTTTAATATAATTGCTAACCACTTGAATAAGCAGGTGGGATTTTCAACCTTTATTTTGACAATTGAAGACACACATTAAAGCTCCAGAATCCAGAAGGAAAAGCTGACATACATCTGAATGAAAGATGTTTGCACACTACTTTCCCTGACTCAGCCTTCTCTACTCCATCAGGGGCTGGTATCAGAGACTCTGTTTCTCACTGAGGCATTTCACCAGGCAGAAGTGTGAGTTAACAGATGGAAGTGGAAAATAAAGTTGTTCAGGCTTTTTTTTTTCCCCTCAGGGAAATCCTTGTGACAGTCAGATTTAGCCTGAAGGTGTAAGCTCATGTTTTCACTTGTATTGACTTGTTATATGATTCTGTGCTACGTAAATGGAACAGTTTGAACAGAATGGTGGTCTAAAATAACTTTCCAGATCACAGCAAGGTGTTTATATCATCCACTTCGGGCACTCAATTAGTCAGTTAGGAACAGAAGACCACATAAGGCTGTCATGCGTTTTGTTTAATAAGTAAATGAAAGATTGTGAAAACAAAAGTGAAGGTAAAAACCTTGTGCTTGCAATGACTGCATCTAACTCTTTCTGCTTTTGTGTGCTGTTGCCTCAGGTTGTAAAAGCTGGAAGAAAGAGATTCTGTCTTCCTCCAAGTGGTGAAGTATTCCTCCACCAGATGGTGAAGTATTAACAAACCACTGAAATAATCCTTTGTAGCACTATTAAGACAAAGCAGTTCTCTCTACATATTCATATGCAAAAAGAAAAGAAAATAAAGAATGGAGATCTGTGGGAGGAATGTGGGCTTGGTCCCTCCATCACTGTCACTGAAACAAACCTGTAGATATAAATCAAGTAAATTAAGTAATTAAGGGAAGAACAAAGAATCATTTTCTAAAAGGAAGCTGTACAGTGATCAACCTCAACAAAACGAGCTTCAGGGTGTGGTGCTTCGTCTGATGTTAATGGAACCTGCAGGCTTCCAGGAGCACCTGCCAGCTGTGTGTGCAGTCTTTTGCCACGTTTCTTCCCTCAGGATGATGACAAGGATTTAGCACCGTGGAGGGTCCAGCTACCTGCATGTATGCAGAGTAGGGTTTGTGGTTAATGATTCTGAACTGGGACACTACACTGTCCTGAGATGAAAATCTGTGGGATTCAAGAGATCTATGTAAAAACTATGACTCTACCTGTTTCAGGAGGGTGCCAGGTACCCCCTGTCACCAGCAACTACTGAACCTGACTGTTGTACATCTCTTGCAGCAACACTGGATGAATACTGACAGAGGGTGGAAGACTCAATGCTAGAAACTAGAGAGCAAAAAAAGCAAAAACTGGGGAGGAATAGGAAGGGTCTGTGACATGAGAGTTGGGCATTGGTGTGACTGCTGTAGCAGATGCTACACTATTGGAAAATAAGGAAAATTAGAGGGAGCTCAGGAAAGCACCATATGAATTAATTAAGGGGTGTGAGGCAGTGGATCAGAGTGTGCCTCAAGGACAGTCTCTATCGATTAAAAAGCTAAGGGGTGTCTTGGTCCAAATCCTTAGGGGACCCAGTTGTGGAATAAAACTCTGGATGATAGAGGTTCTGTCCTGTTGAGCAAACTGTGTGTTACCCGAAGCTGATGCCAGATAAACCCAGAGTGGAAACGTTGCAGATTTCCAGCAATAAGCATAATTTCTGTGGGAGCGATCTCTGAGGGACTGCAGAGGGTCATCCATCAGGGGTAGTTTTGAAATCAAGCCTGGTGTTGTGCAGATTGTTTTCATGGGACTATTTTTGTTCGGTTGTGGTTACACTGATGTTGAACCACCCATGACACCACCGATGTGGTGGTGCTGTCCTCTGTTGCTCCATATGTACATAGGGACCACGTGGGATGTGAAGAGAGTATTATTGTATGAGGTAAGTTTTCAAAAAATCACAATTCCTCTGAGAGCATCGAAGGG